AAGATGGATCATTATAAATACCGAAAAATATGATTATGAAGTTAATTAAATTTAGCATCTTTAAAAAATGTTTAGCGATTATGTTTTACATTTAAATGATTTATTTATAGTTGTTTTTTTCATAATTTTTTTAACAAATTACTTACCACTTTCATAATTTACAAAGTTATTTTTTGCATGCAATGTAAGAACAACTGGTCCGTACTGTACCAACACCTTTCTGATTATTTTTTCATTATCACGAGGTAGATAAACACCGCCGATTAATTCGGCTTTTATTCGTTCGCCCATACTTCTCGGGCACGAAATACTATCCCTTCCTTTGTACGGATAATTTTGATCGGTCGTTACACCGTGCTCAGCAATCCATTCAAAAACCTGAAAAAACATTACTTATCCTTCACAGGTAACAATTAACTAATAATTACAAAATGACAAATTTTTTACACACCTTAGCTGCATTTCCCCCCCTTCCGGAGCATTTCTCCATGTTACTGCAATCCATTATATCCTGAACTGATAATCTCACGGCAGGCTGTTTATTCTTGAGTGCTATATACATTTCGAGCGCTCCTAATGCCGAGAAAATGAAACATACTCCGCAATTACCCTAAAAATCGATTCTAATTCATAAAAACATATAATTATTTGATGAATATAACGAAGAGGAGAAATAAAGAAAAAAGATAATAAAAACTGAAAAAACTTAAACTGGTATTCTCAAAATTTCAACAAAAATGTTTACTTACCTGATTTTTTACTGGTGCAAGTTTTATTATGCTCCTGTAATCAAAAGAGTCTGGTATTATTTTGTGTGCCTTCTGTTTCAATATTTGGCTCATATTTGCTTCCACTCCTCCAGTCCTATTTAAAACATATCCACGAAGCCTTTCTTTTTCTTCCCCCGTCTATAAAAAAGTAAGATAAATCTGGAAAAAAGCAAAAGTAAAATTGGAAAAAGAAAGAAAACAATCGAATGCAACTTGTCATTTGCTAAAATTTGAATTTTCCAATCGTAATTTTTTTATGAAGTAAAATTAGCGAACCCAATCACTCATTTCATTCAGAGCTAATTTGTATGTTTCCTTTCCTTCTGTATAACGTCGGTTGTGTTCGTCAATCATTTTTAGGTTTTGTACAAATTTCAGTAAGCGAATTGGTTCCGGAACGGACGGATCATGTTTCTTGCCTGTGACGAGCAACAAAATAAAAGAGAAGTTCAAAGTAGTGGGAATCAGCCTTATTTAGAATTATGGAAAATTTTTAAATTAACGAATTTTCTCTTCCAGCACAAAAATTGAATGATAGAAATGAGGAAAAAAATAATAAACTTAATTAACTTACTAAATTTCTTCAAGTATTTCTTATAATTTGAGTAATGCTGCTGATATAAACTATGGATTTTGCCCGGTGTGTCATCATTATCCCTGCAGCAATGATTTCAATTAGTTCAAGATTTTTTAAAATATCACCTAATTTATATAAAATAAAAAAATCAAACTTGCCAGTTTTTAAGTTAACAAAGAAAGACAATGAATGATTGATATATTTACAACTTTAGTTTTATAATATTGCAAAATAAAATAAATGTGACTTACAATTCATTAAATGGATCTGTATAAATGAGCACAAGAAAACTGGCCAAGTACAAAATAAAAAATGCTTTCATTGTCAGCCCAATTACTCTTTTTTGTTGAGGTTTGACTAGATAAAAATGTCATTTAGTGCTGCATTTATATCAAATTTATGATAAAAACAATTTTTTCGTAATTATCATTTGTTAATCTTTGATG